ATTACATGAACTTACGGCCCACCACCATCACACCAGACTATTGCCCACCACACTAGCTTACAGCATACTCCATTACATCAACTTACGGCCCACCACCATTACATCAACTTACTGCCTACCACCATCACACCAGACTATTGCACACCACACTAGCTTACAGCATACTCCATTACATCAACTTACGGCCCACCACCATTACATCAACTTACTGCCTACCACCATCACACGCGGACTATTGCACACCACACTAGCTTACAGCATACTCCATTACATCAACTTACGGCCCACCACCATTACATCAACTTACGGCCCACCACCATCACACCAGACTATTGCACACCACACTAGCTTACAGCATACTCCATTACATCAACTTACTGCCTACCACCATCACACCAGACTATTGCACACCACACTAGCTTACAGCATACTCCATTACATCAACTTACGGCCCATCACCATTACATCAACTTACGGCCCACCACCATCACACCAGACTATTGCACACCACACTAGCTTACAGCATACTCCATTACATCAACTTACTGCCTACCACCATCACACCATCCTAATGCACACCACACTAGCTTACAGCATACTTCATTACGTCAACTTACGGCCCATCACCATTACATCAACTTACTGCCTACCACCATCACACCAGACTATTGCCCACCACACTAGCTTACAGCATACTCCATTACATCAACTTACAGCCCACCACCATCACACCAGACTATTGCCCACCACACTAGCTTACAGCATACTCCATTACATCAACTTACGGCCCACCACCATTACATCAACTTACTGTCAGCCCACCATCACATCAACTTATGGCCCATCACCATCACACCAGACTATTGCCCACCACACTAGCTTACAGCATACCCATTACATCAACTTACGCCCACCACAATCACATCAACTTATGGCCCACCACCATCACACCAGACTATTGCACACCACACTGGGTTACAGCATACTCCATTACATCAACTTACAGCCCACCACCATCATACCAGCCTAATGCCCACCACACTAGCTTACAGCATACTCCATTACATCAACTTACGGCCCACCACCATCACACCAGACTTTTGCCCACCACACTAGCTTACAGCATACTCCATTACATCAACTTACGGCCCACCACCATTACATCAACTTACTGCCTACCACCATCACACCAGACTATTGCACACCACACTAGCTTACAGCATACTCCATTAAGTCAACTTACGGCCCACCACCATTACATCAACTTACTGCCTACCACCATCACACCAGACTATTGCACACCACACTAGCTTACAGCATACTCCATTACATCAACTTACGGCCCACCACCATTACATCAACTTACTGCCTACCACCATCACACCAGCCTAATGCACACCACACTAGCTTACAGCATACTTCATTACGTCAACTTACGGCCCATCACCATTACATCAACTTACTGCCTACCACCATCACACCAGACTATTGCCCACCATACTAGCTTACAGCATACCCATTACATGAACTTACGGCCCCCACCACCATCACACCAGACTATTGCCCACCACACTAGCTTACAGCATACTCCATTACATCAACTTACGGCCCACCACCATTACATCAACTTACTGCCTACCACCATCACACCAGACTATTGCACACCACACTAGCTTACAGCATACTCCATTACATCAACTTACGGCCCACCACCATTACATCAACTTACTGCCTACCACCATCACACGCGGACTATTGCACACCACACTAGCTTACAGCATACCCATTACATCAACTTACGCCCACCACCATTACATCAACTTTTACGCCCACCACCATCACACCAGACTATTGCACACTACACTAGCTTACAGCATACTCCATTACATCAACTTACTGCCTACCACCATCACACCAGACTATTGCACACCACACTAGCTTACAGCATACTCCATTACATCAACTTTACGCCCACCACCATTACATCAACTTACGCCCACCACCATCACACACCAGACTATTGCACACCACACTAGCTTACAGCATATACCCATTACATCAACTTACTGCCTACCACCATCACACCATCCTAATGCACACCACACTAGCTTACAGCATACTTCTATTACGCCAACTTACAGCCCATCACCATTACATCAACTTACTGCCTACCACCATCACACCAGACTATTGCCCACCACACTAGCTTACAGCATACTCCATTACATCAACTTACAGCCCACCACCATCACACCAGACTATTGCCCACCACACTAGCTTACAGCATACTCCATTACATCAACTTCTACGCCCACCACCATTACATCAACTTACTGTCAGCCCACCATCACATCAACTTATGGCCCACCACCATCACACCAGACTATTGCCCACCACACTAGCTTACAGCATACTCCATTACATCAACTTACGGCCCACCACAATCACATCAACTTATGGCCCACCACCATCACACCAGACTATTGCACACCACACTGGGTTACAGCATACCCATTACATCAACTTACAGCCCACCACCATCATACCAGCCTAATGCCCACTACACTAGCTTACAGCATACCCATTACATCAACTTACGGCCCACCACCATTACATCAACTTACTGCCTACCACCATCACATCAACTTATGGCCCACCACCATCACACCAGACTATTGCCCACTACACTAGCTTACAGCATACTCCATTACATCAACTTACGGCCCACCACCATTACATCAACTTACTGCCAACCACCATCACACCAGACTATTGCACACCACACTAGCTTACAGCATACTCCATTACATCAACTTACAGCCCACCACCATCAGACCAGACTATTGCCCACCACACTAGCTTACAGCATACTCCATTACATCAACTTACGGCCCACCACCATCACACCAGATTATTGCAAACCACACTGGCTTACAGCATACTCCATTACATCAACTTACGGCCCACCACCATCACACCAGACTATTGCACACCACACTGGCTTACAGCATACTCCATTACATCAACTTACGGCCCACCACCATCACACCAGACTATTGCACACCACACTGGCTTACAGCATACTCCATCACATCAACTTACTGCCCACCACCATCACACCAGACTATTGCACACCACACTAGCTTACAGCATACTCCATTACATCAACTTACGGCCCACCACCATCACACCAGACTATTGCACACCACACTAGCTTACAGCATACTCCATTACATCAACTTACGGCCCACCACCATCACACCAGACTATTGCACACCACACTAGCTTACAGCATACTCCATTACATCAACTTACGGCCCACCACCATCACACCAGACTATTGCACACCACACTAGCTTACAGCATACTCCATTACATCAACTTACGGCCCACCACCATCACACCATCCTAATGCACACCACACTGGCTTACAGCATACTCCATGACATCAACTTACGGCCCACCACCATCACACCAGACTATTGCACACCACACTAGGTTACAGCATACCCATCACATCAACTTACTGCCCACCACTATCTCAACTTATGGCCCACCACCATCACACCAGACTATTGCCCACACACACTAGCTTACAGCATACTCCATTACATCAACTTACGGCCCACCACAATCACATCAACTTATGGCCCACCACCATCACACCAGACTATTGCACACCACACTAGCTTACAGCATACTCCATTACATCAACTTACTGGGCCCACCACCATCACACCATCCTAATGCACACCACACTGGCTTACAGCATACTCCATGACATCAACTTACGGCCCACCACCATCACACCAGACTATTGCACACCACACTAGGTTACAGCATACTCCATCACATCAACTTACTGCCCACCACTATCACACCAGACTATTGCACACCACACTAGCTTACAGCATACTCCATTACATCAACTTACTGCCTACCACCATCACACCATCCTAATGCACACCACACTAGCTTACAGCAAACTTCATTACGTCAACTTACGGCCCATCACCATTACATCAACTTACTGCCTACCACCATCACACCAGACTATTGCCCACCACACTAGCTTACAGCATACTCCATTACATCAACTTACAGCCCACCACCATCACACCAGACTATTGCCCACCACACTAGCTTACAGCATACTCCATTACATCAACTTACGGCCCACCACCATTACATCAACTTACTGCCGTCCACCATCACATCAACTTATGGCCCACCACCATCACACCAGACTATTGCCCACCACACTAGCTTACAGCATACTCCATTACATCAACTTACGGCCCACCACAATCACATCAACTTATGGCCCACCACCATCACACCAGACTATTGCACACCACACTGGGTTACAGCATACTCCATTACATCAACTTACAGCCCACCACCATCATACCAGCCTAATGCCCACCACACTAGCTTACAGCATACTCCATTACATCAACTTACGGCCCACCACTGTCACACCAGACTATTGCACACCACACTGGCTTACTCCCCAGCCATGTCATACCAAAAGACATTAAAATATGGTACTTGTTGGTCCCTGCCTGGCGCTCAGCATTAATGGGTACAACAAGGACTGGTCAGCTCAGAGTCAGTATAAAGTGTCTGAGTGGGGCATTCATGCTAAACTGCGGCCTGGTATCTCAGTGAGCTAGCACTATAAAACCAGCTTAAGTCTGGGCTGGTACAAGCAGCCACACATACACATGCATGCACGTCGTGATATGCGCGAAATATTCTTAAGTACAATATTAAACTCCATTGCACCTCACCTCACACTGACTTACAGCATTTCTCCACTCCATCACATCATCAACTTGCTCCCCACCACATCACACCGGCTTACAGCACACCAACACCAGCTCATATTTTACTGATGCTTCTGACAGTTACTATTCTCTAACGAATATATTCATAAAAGTGTTTCTTATGTGTACTGTTTGAAAGGGCTGAAAGACTGATTGTGTTGTTTGTTGTAGTTCCTCAAGAATGTAGGACCAGACCCAGAAGTCCTTGTGTTAACTAATGTCACACACAAGGATAGTGGGAAGTACGTGTGTCTAGCTGGCAACTTGTGGGGCATCAAGTACAACAACGCCTGGCTCACGGTCATTGCTTTAGGTAACAGTCCATCCGGTAAGTCAATAGCATCTAGTCATCACATAATATTATAAACAAGTTGTTATCCATAAAGTATCATACCTTTCTTATTATTCATCAACTTCTAAAATGTCAATCAAACAGATAAGTCTCCACTTGTTAACCTAAGTACAGACAGAGCTGTTGAGTTGGAACAGTTCTATATTGGAGAGCTTAAGTTAGTTCATCAAGGTATCTCATGCGAAAACTTCCTTGAGGTGGTTTTCCTAGATAATAAATAGAAGTACTATATTCAATGTAAGAATATTAGAAAATGTAGAAAATCGACAAAGGGAACAATGCCTGTAAAACCCATACTGAGTTAGTGGTTTGAACAAAGAAATTTTAGCATAGTTGCTGTAGGAAATTATCACTGCACCTATTCACTGATACATCAATGTGCTATGATACACAGGATATGATATGATGCGTTAACGTGTGTATCACAATTCACAGTGATACTCAATATTGTCATTTAAAATGATAAAATTGCTCTTCTTGTTCAAGACATGATTTTAGACAGATACCTCAGCAAAGACAACCAATGAAGGGTTTTCTTGTAACTGAACCAGAAAAAAGAAAAGGCACACATGGCCTACAAGTCAGCTGTCTGCCAACACTATATTCATAGTCACAACTAATGATCCCCCGCAACACGTTTTGCGGGGGGGGTATTAAAATGGACTCCGTCCACATTTGTCTTTTCCGGAGCAGAACTCTAAAACTGTTTAATATTTCTTCACCAAACTTGGCACATAGATAGATCTGGTGGTGTTCTGGTGCCTTTTGGTAGTTTGGGAATTCTGAATAAAACTTTTTTGGGCGTTTCCATGGCAACAAGTTCGACTTAGACTGAAATTGGTGGTAGTGCTCTTTTCCGGAGCTGAACTCTAAAACCGTTCACTATTTCTTCACCAAACGTGGCACATAGATAGATCTGGTGGTGTACTGGTTCCTTTTTGTAGTTTTGGTATTCTGAATAAAATATTTTTGGCATTTCCATGGCAACAAGTTTGACTTAGCCTGAAATTGGTGGTAGTACACTTTTCCAGAGCTGAACTCTAAAACCGTTCACTATTTCTTTACCAAACTTGGCACATAGATTGTTCTGGTGGTGTACTGGTGCCTTTTGGTAGTTTTAGAAATCTGAATAAAATATTTTTGGCATTTCCATGGCAACAAGTTTGACTTAGCCTGAAATTGGTGGTAGTACACTTTTCCAGAGCTGAACTCTAAAACCGTTCACTATTTCTTTACCAAACTTGGCACATAGATTGTTCTGGTGGTGTACTGGTGCCTTTTGGTAGTTTTAGAAATCTGAATATAATATTTTTGGCATTTCCATGGCAACAAGTTTGACTTAGCCTGAAATTGGTGGTAGTGCTCTTTTCCGGAGCAGAACTCTAAAACCGTTCACTATTTCTTTACCAAACTTGGCACAGAGATTGGTCTGGTGGTGTACTGGTGCCTTTTGGTAATTTTGGAAATCTGAATAAAATATTTTTGGCATTTCCATGGCAATGTGTTTGACTTAGCCTGAAATTGGTGGTAGTGCTCTTTTCCGGAGCAGAACTCTAAAACCGTTCACTATTTCTTCACCAAACTTGGCACATAGATTGGTCTGGTGGTGTACTGGTTCCTTTTTGGTAGTTTTGGAATTCTGAATAAAATATCTTTGTCATTTCCATGGCAACAAGTTGGACATAGACTGAAATTTGTGATAGTGCTCCTTTCTGGAGCACAACTTTAAAAACCTTTCAATACTCCTTCCACTTTTCTATATACACACCTAAATATTTGACATAATCATAACTCATAGACATAATCATGAAGAGTATTTTGCCATTGAGGGGGATATTGATGACTTTGTCTTCTTGTTATTCTGGAATCTGGTTACTGGACTGGACCCAAAAAATGACAGAAAGTGGAAACAAGAAGTCTCAGAAATAAAAGATTCTGAATTGGTATCACTTGATGGCTGATTGTTGAACTATGCTTTTTAGTTTGAAAGGCCTCATAGGAGTGTGACACTTTTTCAATTCAATGTTTAATCATTGTGATCGGAATCAAGGCAAATATTATGATTTATTACTTTACATATCATTGCAGCTCTACAGGTCATAATATGCTGTCTCTATGGGGCTGTTTTGTGTAACAATAATCTGTTATATTTAGAACTGCCAGTATATTGCAATACACTTTTCAAAGAAACTTTTTTCTCTGTACCAGTATATTGGATGAAAGAATATAACAAGTATTGTTATTTTATCTATGGTTTAGGCTAAAATGTACACAGAAATACATTCCCATCCCATTAGGAGACATGACAACCAAATGACTGACCAGGCTGACTGTGACATCGGAGTAGTTACTTTACTTCTTGTGGTTGTAAATATGGGGGCAACCCTATAAATAATCACATTCGTAATGGTTTCTTTACTTGTAAAAACTTGACGGTGCTCCACTATTTTATAGATCACCAGTTTCCCAGTTGCATTTTAACTTGTAAAACCACACTTTTCACTTAAGTCATCATTTTGATTGCTCCATGCAAAGTTGCAAATATTTCATTTTGCTAAATTTTGATATTGTGTGCAGTGCATTGCGTGTACAAACTTCTGACATGCATAGACACCTCCTCTTTAATCAACATAACTTCACACAGAAAAAAAGATTGATCGTACCATTGAGAACGAAGATGACAGTTACATTGGAACTAATAATAACGATGTCCTATCTGAGCTGATGGACACACATGAAGCGAGGTAGAACAGTCTATAGTGGTGACAGTCGAAAGTCAATCAAAATCACTCTTTTTTTTGTGAAAAAAAATTAATAAAGTAATGGCTTAGAAAATATGTAATTATAAAATACAAAAGGGTTGTTCCATCACTTCAAACTTTAAGACACAATACAAATGAAGATATTGACCTGTCACTCTTCAAATGACAATTTTTTCTATGTTTTCTTAATATAATATTTACAGGACTTGACATAGAATCAAAAATAGCTGTCATTGTTGATAATTCTAGAAATGCTACCTCTATTAATCAGAATTATAACCACCTCCTCCCAATTCTTCTGCATCTGGTAGTTGTTTGGAAAGAAATGATGTGTATCTCACCTTGACAAGCTGAAGAGATAGATGCTGAATGGCAGTACTGTTATCTTGGCAAATAGTTGCATGTAAGATGCTTCAGGTTGGTTTTGTGTTTCTGCAGCCAAAATACAAGATTTATGGTAATGATGTAATATAGGTAGTATTCTTTACTACTGTTCCTATAGTTCTTTTGGAAACATTCTTTTTGAATGAAACTTTCTCAGTGCAGATTCTAGTAATTTTGTTAGGTTGAGTCACACCTAGGATTCAGACCAGTCACCTAATCACCTGCACACAAGGTCAGCAATCTAACAAACTCAGCCACCAAAAATGGAAGTCTGACAACTGACAGTTTAGATAAATTAGCACAGCTCACATGGCCGAAAGATATGAATACATATTGCCATTTAGAAAGTATGAAATGTTATGTATGTTATGTTTGGGATTACACTTTCTGAGTAAAGTACAGATTCTAGTAAATCTTAAGGGTAAGTCTCATCCCGTCCATCAAACCCACACTATCAGAGTCAGGCACCTGATTGCCAGAACACAATATCATCGATGTTATCCAATCAACCAGTGCAGTTTCCATACAATGGAAGTGTGACTACTGGGAGTGTGTTACATTGTGTACCAGTCAAATGGACTCCCAAAATTTATGCCTAGACTGAATGTCCCAGATTCTAGAAGGAGAGTCAGGGTTCATACCATCACTTGATCTGTTTCTTGGTTTTCTCATGCTCGAAGCATGAACTTGTTTATTTGAAAATTTAAAAAATCCACAATGTGCATGTTTGTTTCATTTGTTATCACTCAGCCTTTAAGTGCCTGAATTATTCAAGGTTCCAGTGTTCGCGGTAGGAGAAAAAGCTTTGCGTTCCTAAAACCTATAGCCCTTGGAAACTTGCATGTAAGATTTTGAAATTTCATTTCATTTCAGAGCATTTTATCATCATTCGCAAGTCAAATTAATTGAGAGAAACTTTATTTTATTTTGTTGTTTCTTTTGGTAAAATACTTTTTTCGGTTACCTGTTGCTCTTCATGTGTCATCGTCTTTATTTTGAAGAATGAGCAAGGTACGTAAGTATCACCCATTCAACAAGTTTTACAGTTTCATAGATAATTTGAGGAGGTGTGGCACACAACACATGACTCAAAAATCTCCGAACCGCGAATAACTATATAAGGTATGAATTTGTGACATATATGGTTATACACAGTTCAGAGTTTTGCACGCCATCTGGCGAGGTTGCTATTTATATAGTCAATCTTTAGATGTATTTTGATTTGTACTTGTTCTGTGAATCCTTTCAGAGTTATTTGCCTATAGGTTTTCAGAACTAACCTGAAGCTGAGCTCTCACTTAATGTTGGGTACAAGTTATGCCATATTTGTACAATTACCATTATCTACTTTTGCATTTTCCAGTTTCTTTGGAACCAACCACATCTACTACCACAACTACAACTACTACAAGCCCTACTACAACCACCACCACCACCACCACCACAACAACAACAACCACCACAACTACAACTACTACACCAACTACCTCACTGGCCCGAACGTTCAGACCATTCTTTGGAACAGTTCATCCAGTGTATGTGGAGAGATCAAGAACTACTCCAGGTTATCCAAGAGTAAAGGAACCTCGCTCAACAAGAAAACCAAAAAATCGTAAAAATGGTCGACGGCGCAATAAGGATAGAAAAAAGAATAAAAACAGGAATAGAAACATGGAGACCACAACAGCTGAAATTATGTACGAAATTCCGACACGAGATATTGCTGAGGACAATAGCTATAGCCACAACGAAAACCCACGGCTCGCCACAGACTATTATCCTAAAATGAGAGATGAAGACAGCAATACAGACAAGAACACAGTAAACGACACATCAAAAGGGCTCCGTCCAGCCCAGGAAGGAGGCATAGGACTGTGGACAATTTACACGATTGTTGGTGCTATTGCAGGTATCATTCTCCTCTTTGGACTTATCGCCATCACTGTGGCCCTGTGCTGTCGACGGGATAGCAATGGCCTTTACAAATCGACACCAGTGTGAACCCTGCTGGAGAAATGATAATTACTGTAACCTGCCAGAACATTTACTGAAGGTAAATCAGTCTTTCGTGAGAACAGCGTGGAACGTGTAGGATGATCATTTGTAGACATAGGAACACATTACCTCCACTTGCACGCTCAACATCGTAACATTCTTTCAAATACAGCATTAACCATCACTTGAAAATATCTTGGAATTTTTGTGTGTGTTTCTTTTTTCTAAATTCCACACTAATTGCTACTATGTAGGAAACTATGTTTCCAGATTAATTGATGTCTGTGAAATGTTCGTGGATTCCCTGTTAGAGAAACAAACAGTGGCCAGTAAGGCAGTAGTGTTTGTCGTCCACAGATGAATACTTGGATAGTGTTATGTAATGAAGTCAAGTCCTGTGGATGGAAGGATGACTAGATGGGTGGAGAAGGCTGGGCAAACTCCAGTCAGGATACTGCACCAGCTTCTTGTGCTCATCAGTGGAAGGTGATCATTAGATCTTGGGACAAGCTGATGCTTTACATTCCTTATCAGGCAAAAATGTCGAAACAAGGAATAGCAGTTGTCTTAAGTTGACACTTCTGTGCAGCCATACCCTTGCACTACTGTAGAGAGAATTGGATACTGAATGAGCTGCAGGTGTATGTGCAGGTGCACTTGTAGACTTAACTCCAAGATGTTCATAGTGAAAGGGAGACTATTCTTGGTTTCTGTGGTGTTACAAGGAACTGTAATAGGTAGATGTTCCAGTAAATACTCATAGTCCTTGTGCCCGTCATTATACATAGATCAGCGTTTGTTGCCATGACAACATGTTTTGATATCCATAAGATGTTTCAGCTTAAGTAATGAAATGTACAAGAAAGGTAATGAATCAGACACACATGGTCTACATGTCTGCAAGTGAGCCCTTGGCAAACAGTGGAGATTACTGTTACATGTAGTTTTCACAAAGTTTTATAGGTAGTTTCATATTATATTGATGTTATTTTGTACTGATTGTATGTTTTATGTTGACATTAGCCTTCATGTGATGTATGTGTGTGTATTTATGTTCCTGTCTGGAGTTGAACAGCAGCACAATGTCATTACTCATCTCTCGCAGCAGTATTGCCAGTGTAAAGTCTTTAGTCACTCAATAAAACCAGCCAAATATTTCTTGAAACTTTGATTTTGAAGATTTTGACAGATGTCAGAAACCATGTTTGATGTTATTGAAAGTTGAACATACTGATGATCTGCATGATCCTAATGGGATTTTAAAGTATCTTATGGTATTAAGCTGAAGAAGTGGGTTTTTTCAAAATTGGAAAATATTCTTCAATTCAGGACATTTTTTAGAATGATCTTGAAAACCTTATGTATCAAAGAGCTGATTTTATTAGGATATCTGACACTTCACTGATGATTAGATTCAATGATGGCATTTAGATAAATAGTCACACTTTTTATCTTAATTTACCTACAGCCGAGTGAGCTGAGGTTCAAACCAATGTAAAGAGTGGTTCGTTAAACATCTCCTCAGGCACTACTAGACAGATGAACTGGAAATTCACATACATGTTCCAGTCAATTATTCACCATGCTTTTAAATTCTCTAAGAATGAATAATTGGTTTAGTAAATCTCTGACAATGAAAACTAAACTTGGCATGTGTGTTTCACCGAATGATGATTTAATTTAATGTTCATGCTCTTGTTTTATGTTAATCCTGTATTTGTGGACAATAATTGAATCTGACAGCAGGGTTGGTTAAATTATATCTTACATCCAGGTGAACTACAGCTGGTTCACACAATTTCTTTTCTTGAAAGTCTTGTAGAAAACATTATCTGCTTTCAACTGAAGCTGTTGTTGACAATGTGGGCATATGTAATCTTGTCTAACTTAGAAATTTCAAAACTACTGCATTGGTATCATGTCATCATCTTGCATCAAACAGACCACATTTTACAATAAACAGTCACGTGTTTAACTCATCTAACTACAATACAAGGGGAGGCTTACTGAGAAGAATATATATAGTACAGAGATTGCATGTATTAGATGCAATATCCCCCTTGCTTGCTTGCAGCATTGAACCAACTCCACAACATGCCAGTATGTTGTTGCAGGCATTGAAGTGACTCATTACTGTAGATGAGAAGTCACTGCCAACAGCCATCCATGAGGATCATATTGGATAGATGCTCTGTCCTTCGCTATTGTTAAGGTGGACAGCAGAGTTTAAGATGGGAAGATAAAAGCTTCAAAGATGATCCAACATCAGGAAGGCATCTGGCACTGAGGAAATAGTGACACAATATGAGATAATGTTATTGATGATAATGACATCACACATTACAAGAGGTATATCTCTTCTGAGGAATGAACTGAGCATGACAAAGGTTTCAGCGCAGGGGGTTCCAAGACTTCTGATCAGAAATGGTTCAAGTTCATTGGAACTAGACCTACCCACAGACCAATTTTCAGCCCTAAATCTTCTACTAATATCATTAAAGGTTCCCAAATTTAAATTGAGCATTGACCAGTTACCTCAATAATAGTTGTAACTGTGTTATGGCTTTGTGGTGTTTGCTTGTATTCACTGATAACAGGAACAATGAAGAGGAAGACGCTTCAGTGCTTAGCAGTAGTTTAACAGTCTTGCATTGAACAAAATATAAAATTCAAGGCAAAAATGCCTCTGAATTTAAGAATATAACTTTTAATTGAAAATATCAAGGCTAAGTGTTGTGGAAAACTCAATAACAGTAGTGATTTTCCACCAGGGCAATGCAGACATTTGGGGACCTCGAAGGGAATATGTAGAAAAATATTTCGCAACCAACTCCATCAACCATCATTGTTAGGCTCAGATCTTTTCAACCACTGCTCAAATGTACCTGTTGAGCAACAATGCTTTGGTGGTATTATCATTTTCACCCTGGCTAAGTCTCAGGTACAGAATGATTGAATACACTAAAATGTCACTGTGTCCTCAGTTACCTCCCTTCCCCAAGAATACATATGAAACTATCTAATGCTCTACGTTAAACAGGAACATGCTTTGCTGAAAGTTGAAACATATTCCTTTGATAGAAACATGCATGTGTTAGATGAGTTCTTGCAACTAATAACGTACAGTTGGAAGTGTTATGGTGGTAGAAAGCATTTAAGTTTAACCTAAATTAAAGGTAGGTTATGATTTGAACTTGTGTACCTCATGTCTGTACAAGTCTCATGTTTATCAGTTACAAGCATCAGTGGTGGAGATGTGTCTGTTCAAATCAGGACCCTTCTCTATGGGGTCTCAGTACTCTCTTCAATCTCACACCAGTTGAAAATAGGCAATGCCTTTTCAACAAGTCTATTACAAGGACACTGTTACTTCGTGTGATTGCAATGTGTTGAATATTGTTTTGTTTCCCTAATTTCTAGCATAGCAGTTTTTCTTCAGATATTGTTAATTATTGTCTGTTTCAGTATTTTATTTGCATATTGTGCTTCATCATATACACCAATATCTGTGACTTCAGTATATGCAGTGTCCATGCAAAGAAGTGTAAGTCGGGAATTATTTTAGGTTTTCCCTAATATTTTTTTCTATATCAGATATTTCCAGATGGTATCGTTTATTGGATATGTTTTGTGTCTTACCTGTAGAGTCTAGGGAATGTGTTAAAGCACATTTTTAGTCTTCTATTATTCTCGAATTTGGGCTAAATAATAATTCTGAAAGGTGTTCAAGCTTTTTCCAAAATCATTACAAGTTTAGGTTTTGAGTAAAATATTGTGAATTACTGATGTTTCAGATGAACTTTACCACTGGGTCATGTCATTGTTCTGGACACTGGTGTTCAGAGGGAGTATTTATTGGAGTATTATATCCAGTTAGTGTTTGTTCATGTCACAGGCTTTGTATTTTGTTTTGTGTTTTACATCAATCCTTTTATTTTCCTAGATATTTTGTTGCATATTTTGTTTCTTTTGGAAACCTTTTTATTAGAAATTATATAGTGTGCATTTGGCTTTAAATGGATATATTGGTCGCACTCATAGTTGATCCATTCTTGTGTTCATCCACATCCTCAAAGATTGTTAGAAATGTTGAAGAACTTTTGTTTTTGTTTTGTATGCTTTTCATTGTGAAATCCCCAGAAGTAATATAAAGTCAAGTTGTGTAGCTACAGACTTGTGCTGTTGTATTGGAGAAGTATAATTACAGACACAGAACAACACATCTCATATTCCTTGATGTTGTTTTGTTGTCTTAAAGCAGTCATCATCTAGTAGTTGTCTGTGCATAATACATATCAAATCTACTTCATCTTTTAAACATGTACCAAACATGATAACATATCCGCCTATTTGAATACATTTTGTTTGAGGCAAAGTACATTTGCAAATTTAGGTGAACATTTTGATGTTGTTTTGTCCCTGACTGCTGCTAGGGTGGGACAGTGTTACCTTCATCTATGTGGGTACTGTCCCTGCATGTACAGGTGGTAGCTGGAACACATACACACCCAGTAATTTAGTGCCAATACTCTCTAGTTTGTGCTATGTCTACCCTGTGTCGTAATATGCTATCAATCATGAATAAAAAGTTTTCATCTTTGAATATGTTAGCTGCATTATTGAAATATGTACCAGATGTACCATAACTGTTGCACTGGGGATAAACTGAAACACACGATGTCAACATGAGCTGTGATTGAAGCACAACGCCCAACATCAGGACTGAAGCACACAGCATAAACATCATGAGCTGTGATTGAAGCACAACGCCCAACATCAAGACTGAAGCACACAGCATAAACATCATGAGCTGTGATTGAAGCACAATGCCCAACACCAGGACTGAAGCACACAGCATCAACATCAGGAGCTTTGATTGGCGCAAACCCATCACAATCAGGAGCTGTGATGAAGCAAGTAGTTTCAATAAGCACCATCACCAGGGGTAGAGTTCCAGCATCAGGCACAAAAACGCTAACACCCTTTGATTGAGAGGTATAACTGAAGCACAGAGGTCCATCACAACTTGAGCCTAAAGAGCAAGTCATTATAAAACAGTACTAAAGAACACTCAGTCTTAGCTGTCTTTAGAAGCAAATTCCAACTGGTGTAAAGGGGAAAAAAAGTTGTAATAGAGATTGAGAATCTGTGGTGACCCCAGCGATGGTACCAACTCAACATAGCAGTTTTGCAGAGTTTAATACCTTTGGGCGTACTTAATCACAATTATGCTTATGCTGATGTTAACTTTTAACTCATAATTGCTACCACTAAACTGAATGGAAATGGCATAAAACAGATGATTATGTGGCATGTCTGCGTAACCCGCTTACACACAACACATTTAGATCTGATGTGCAGGTCTACAATTCAACAGATAAAACAATAAATGCAGATATAAGCAGAGCTATATACTGGGCATTCATGTCTCAGACAGCATAAGAGACATATCACACAAGGGCATTCAGGTCTTAGCCAGCGTAAGCGACATGTCACATTTTCACATGAAGGTCTCGGCCAGCTTAAGATACATGCCACTCCTGGACATTAAGGTCTTAGCCTTTATAAGCGACATGGCACTCCTAGACATTCAGGTCTTTGCCAGAAAAAGAGATCCGTGTCACCTCTTCACATTCAGGTCTATGGCAGCATGAGAGACATGTCAAGCTGACTGAGACCTGAATGTCCAGTAGCGACATGTCTCTTAACCTGGCTACAAACCCCATGATGCACATACATTTCCTCCACTGCCCTGATGGCTGACACATCAAAGTCTGTTTGGATCTCTGGCGCAAGTTCAGCCCCTACTCAATTCCTAACAACATCATTCAACAGCGTGAATAGTCCTACATAGGTAGCCCCAGTACGATTTGGTCATTGCACATACACACATAGGTACATATCCCCATTCACAATACAATGTATAAGCTGGTCCCATAGGGCTTGAGCAACATAAAAAGTTCCATCCGTAAACTGTTTGTCAGCAGGGTGGAGCAGGTTCAGCATGTCGTCAGAAGCAGACCTTGCTTCTGTGCCGGTAGAGGGAGGACTTCACACTGGAGAAGGATGGCAATGATGCTGGGTCGGGCATATTGGACAATTCTTCCTCGTACATCTGTTGAATGGGTGGGACGTCCTCTTGTACACGCTGACGCATCCTGCTCAGGAGTCGAATCTGGTCTTCTGATTCTTATAGGGCGTGGTTGTACTGCATTGTAGTTTTAATGAAGTCTGCAGTTGTGGAACAGCGGCCCTTGCATGCGGAATACACACACTCCCAATGTGTTGTAGTCTGTCATCTGACGTTAAGCGATTGGATTGCGGTATAAAGCAAAGAATACTTGCGAAGTGCTGAATTCAACATGCTCAACATATGCCATTGTGTGATGGATGCTGTTGGTTCCCATTCTAACTTATTAGGAGGTGAATTATCAGACACGATGTCCTTACCAATTTAGTCTTTTCCATTGTTTAGACCTAGATAGTACAAGGTTGTAACAACACAGTCAAAACATGTTGTCAAGCCCTCTAATTTGACATGGGAGGAGATGCTGTGATTAAGTTAAGCCTAATCTTGAGATGATCATCTGCACGACTAATTAAATATGGTAACTGTTTCTGAAAACCCCCAATATCATTGTACGTCTTATGTATCTTTATTGGACTATAAGGTTCAAAATATGCTATACATGTAGATACACAGACCAACCACAGCTTTGAAACTTAAACTTGACATTCAATATCACCAATGTCGCTTAATGTAAGTGAAACTGCATTTATTACACTTTCTCCAAACCCAACAACATACCCTTCAGTTGCTCCGTTAGTTATAGGTCAAAAATCATTTCCCATTCTGCCTATAGTAATTTTGTAGGCAAACGCTGATGTAGGTAAATTGGGATTGTAGGCAGAGTGCCTGAGTGTAGTGGAAGTAGTATCCATGGACGTCACAGTCGGGGAAGATGATCTCAGCAGCGTTGATGGCAGGGATTTCAAAGTCGGTCTGGATGACATCCAGGAGCGATCCTGTTGTTTGCTGTACCTTGTCGTTCAGGAGCCCTAGAAGACGTTCAAAGGTGCGGCGTTGAAGATTCGGCAGTAAACTGAAGACCAGCTGGGTCATCTTTCCCCTGACTAGTCCATGGCTGACATACAACTAGTCCCAGAGAGAAAGACAGGAGTAGAAGGTGCCGCCCATGTAGAGGGCGTCCACTTCTTGCAGGAGGGTCAGGCGGTCACTTGTGGCGGTCTCTTCCCATAAGACAGACCTTCCAAAAGACAGACCGCTTAAAACAACACATATTATGGTTGGTTGCATGAGCCTTAATTAAGCTCTACCCTTGATAATAATGGTATGTGCCCAGATAAAAAGACAACATTAGGTATTAACTATAGTTTTATAAATTGATGCAATGAATTATGATTTTTAAATTAAGACATATTGCATCAACATATACATGTACATCAACATATGTTTTCACATTTACTTGTGAATACTATCAAAAACAATAATTAATATATATGTACATCAACATATATTTTCACATTTACTTGTGAATATTATCAAAAAGAATAATTTATATACATGTACCTATCAAGCATATGAGACCAGGCACCATATTATTTTACATCATATGTTTGTCAGTTCACAGATAACACTTATTTGAAAGTCACTTCAACATCATCAGTGGCACTGGTAGGGAACTTGGTTACAGTGAGAGTTGAGTCTTTGTGATTTTTGCGACAGAAACTTTATGATTTGTCACAGTCTTTGCAATGATATGTGTTATGATAAGATAAATGGTAATTATAGCTTTAATTTGTGGTATTAAAGACTATAATATTCACAATGTATTCACTTGTAAACTAGGAGAGATAGGAATGTGTGACTCTGGGTGAGCTCATTTATTACATAGGGGCGGACAGCATGGCTCAGCTAATTAGTGTACTCATTGAGTCTGTCTTATGGGAGGTCTGTCTTTTGCGAGGTCTGCCTTTTGGGAGTGAACTGCTGTGGCGAAGCAGAGAATCTTGTCATCGTTGTCTTAGCATGTACCCGCTGCCGCAGAGAACGAGCAATCTTCAGGATGTGGATGGTTGTGTGGGGACTGATTCCGAAGAAACTGTCCGACTGTGGTACACTTGCCAAGGCAGCCACCTTGGACACACTTCCAGTGCTGCTGTCCTCCTTTCTGTGATGTGAAGTATTCAACTTTCTTTTGATTTGCAACAAAAAAATTGTTAAGAAGCTTTGGAAATCAACACATTTCCTTCTCACAATGAATAACCTCTCTCAATAAATTATTCTACTCTTCAATTTCAATTCTCCTTACTCATTACTCCCCTAATCACATTGTAGGCATAAGTGCATACTAATTGAAACAGTCCACTTGTGTGTATAACAAGGAATTTAGACGAACAGTAAGCTAACTACTAGTAACACAGGCGGCAAATTATCCAGCTTCATGACCTCTTTGTGCATTTTGCTTGTAATACTAACATGTTTGTTCAATGAACATACAATCCCGAGTTGTTATATCTGTAAGAGTCCATAGATGACAAATATGCCTTGTATTGTAATAATAAGAGTCGTAAGGAAGCCGTATTTGAAGAACGCCCCGAACGTAAGAGGAATATTCAGGGTCTGCTTCGCTTTTTGCGCCACAATTATGTTTGCCACGCTGCCGAAGAGTGTGAGGTTACCAGCGATGGTAGAGCACCACGCAAGGTATAGTACAAGATCCAGCTGATTGGCACACGGTTGCAACTGCTCCAAAATGATAATCGTCAAGGGTACGTTGCTGAAAACATTAGATCCAAAGATTACAAACACCGCAAATATTGCAATGCTCTTGGCGTCATCAATAGGACGACCAGCTAAGCCTATGGCCTTCCACACATAGCGTGGTACTCGCGTGGCGTTTACCCCGCCCAACCATACGAAAATACCGAAGAACATGAGGATGACGTTCCAGTCTACTTTCATTATGAGGTGGATTGGGTTGGTCTTGTTCAATGCAACATCTGCTGCCATTATTAACGCAGATGCCGCCATTGGAAGAATACCTGAACACCAAAAGAAAAGAATTATATGTCATTAAACATGTCAATGTTAAGTTAAGACACAGATCAGTTACAACCCAAAGACAATGTCTCATTCATGGAACATATCTAGTGATAAATGCTTTTATTCTCTGTTTGTGAGTCTTCTCTGTAGCGTGTACATTTGTTAGCTTGTAAAGCGAAATCATACAAACCTATGTCAAAACGGAGCTCGTCTGTCTTAACAAACAAAAGCACCATCATGATGACCAGAAGTAAGGGTGGCAGCCAAAAGAAGATGCGGCTACTTCCCCGTTTATCTTCCTCTGATGGCAACACACCATCTACCTCTTCTGCTACAGTGATCTGCTGCTTACAGCAACTTGTGGAAGCATTCAACCTGGAATGAACAATCAGGAAGGCCAGGTTGAGGAGGTAGCCTATGATGGCCGGTATTCCGAGGTACGTCACGCTGCGCTGAAGATGAAGCTGACTTTTAAGGAATACAGTCTCCTCGGTTTTTGACGCTATGAGTGCCATCTGAGGATTACCGAATATGGTTATGACACTTCCAATGTTTGCTGATGTTGAAATAGATAGTAAAAGGGTTTCCAGTTCGACACTTGATCTTTCCTGTGAACACCAATGCTTTAGAATCAACGGTGTCAGTATGACACATGCAGCGTCGTTAGTAAACAACGCAGCCACAAAGAAGGACAACATCGTGACTCTCCATAAATAGCTGGGGAAGGATATATCTTTCTTCAGCACCTTATTAATCAAAGTTTGAATGATTTGTTCCCTTTCAAAGTACTGGGATATAATCATCATACCAAGGAGAAGGAATATTGTCCGCATGTTGCCGTCTTCTCCTATAATGTCATAGAAGTCTCCCTGGGACAGGACGGTGGTCGCCACCATGAGCACGGCCCCCCAGGAGGATGGCGGAGCTGGCACCGATTGGGAAACAGCTAAACTCGAAAAGAACAAAGGGCAGGATGAGTAAAAACACAAGTGACCCTGCCACCACTTTGTATGTGTCGTTTAGAGAGTAGTCCAGCTGGGGTAGAGATTCATTCAACGTGTTACTGTTAAATGCATTGCAGTTTATAGCGACAAGGTCGAACGACGATGCCATGGTCTATAACTTCTGGCTACAGTCTTCAGTACAGTTTACAACCGAAGTTTGGGATATCTGAAAATAACAAAAAAATACATCCAACCATTTGCAAATTAATGAACCTTGTCCTTCACAGCACACCGTTTGGTGAAGTTCAAAGACAAGCTGTGCTAAAGTACACTTCTCCAAAAATGAAACGCATGGGTGATTTTGAGAATACTGCGGTAAAAACCATACAAAGAAACGTCATCTTTGTGGCAATGTTAACCTTTCCCTTTGTTTTAGAGGCGTTTGAAGAAATATTCTCCAAAACGTCACAAAGAAAACATGCAATGCAAACAGCAGGTGGAAGTAAACGGAAAAGCATGCAGTATCGATTAATATAGAAAGGCCAACGTTGTGTTTAATTTTGTGATTCGTTTTTTTGTTCGTGTCATGGTGTGGGGTGCTATATACAGCACAAAACAAAGATTTGATTTAGTGCAAATTGGTACATCAACGAAGTCCTTGCACGTCATATATGCTTCCGATTATGGACCGACATGAGTTGTTCCAGCATGACAAGGTTACTTCACAAACAGCTCGCGTCACGGTCCGCTACCTTGCCAATTCTAACGTTAATGTCTTGCCATGGCCTTCCCGACCACCAGATCTAAACCAAATACATGTAGAACACCTATGGAATGAACTCGATCGACGTGTACGTTCAACGTCAAAACACGCTTCAGACACTTCTACAACTGGTCATCGCATTGCAGGGGGAGTTGGGGAAAATTCGTCGGCTTATCCAGTCTATGCCGAGACGGTGCCGAGCAGTAATTGCTGACAATGGTGGCCATACAAAATACTGACTTTGACGCCATCTTGTAGACTCACGTAAACAGAAGCACAACAATAAAGGCAGCTGTGGTCTTTTTCCTTAGGCGTGTGAACTTTCACCTTTTTTTATTGCATGAAATAATTGTTCTTAAGCCAACGCAATAAATTATTCTAAAAATGGCTTATATATGCTTTTCTGTATAATGTAGTGTATAATGTCACGAGTTGATTTACAAACTGAAGCGCAGAGGTACACAAAACTAATTTTGGAAATTACTTAACGTCCACACACGTTGAATTATTTCATGAGGTGATTTCCAAGTGAAACATACATATGATAACCCAGAAAGTTTTCGGGTTACAATGAAAACCGGCAACAACCCCTGCAGAATGCCTGTACACTAGCCCTGTTCTTGACTACTGAACAACGTTGGAAGCTGAAGGAATCGGATGTTCCCAGGCCAGGCATCCAATCCGCACTTGGTAGGGAGATAAGGCTGGTCGTAAAAGGGCCTCGAATCAATCTCGTGTCACTAATCCATAGGTTCAGACAGCCTTCTAGAAACTTCTCGAACGGTCACGATGATTTTACTCTGTAGTGGAGTGTGTAAGTCACGTTAAACATGTAACTTTGGCGCGGTTGCTGAAATCAACTCGATCCTCAATCCTTCATTATATGGACAGTGAGATTACATAGCAAAGATTTTAGAATACCTGTATCAGAAAATGTTAACAATTATGATACAAACCAGCCCCTGCAAGTGTAATATGTAATTTACATTTCTGAAGGTGAAATATTTCTACATAAGCCTTAATTCATCCTCATCGCTATGCAATACATATATATGCCGATAATAGTTTTCTAATTTTGTTACACAAATATTGCACAATATAAGTCATCATTTTTTGACAATTTTATAAATATCCAATTTATACAATAATGGAGTATATATGGACCTGGATTTCATGTCACAATGTGCAAGGTGTGTTTGATAACCGGTGTTTGGATGAATCACCAAACACCATTATAAGAGAGTAAGTGGATGCCCCTCTCGGCATCATAGATGTTGACCGTTAATTAGGCAGATGAACAGACATGCGCGGAATAGGATATCAATACTAGATGTTAGAATTAGATACAGTACGGCATTCAGGTTGTCGACAACGCTATACTGATTTCAGCATGACGTCGTCATTTCGTGACTGCCATCACATTCAGTAATTAACCTGTGCAGCGGCAGTGGAGATAACATTTACACTCACACAATGCATTATATACCCAACAATATCCCCCGAGCGTTTACTGCTCACCAATATATGTTCAGGTATACAACTCACCTCCTTCACAACAGCGTCCCGTAAACATCAACACATTGTCCTTCACAGCTTCCTACAGTCATCACAGTCCAGCAACAACTCTCAGTAAGATCATTCACTTTCTACTATAAAATAACCTTACTGTAAGCCTCTATCCACAGCGGCTTACATTCATGGTGATAGACTGACCTGACTGCGTAATGAACTAAACTTAAGTATGGACACAGTTACTGCCTGCATCAGTGAAATTTACTTTCATAAGTGAAAGCTGAATGTTTGCCCATAATAATCTCGGTCATAGTGTATCCACACTTCATAACGTAAGTGACAACTGTTGTCGTAAATCAGGTCCGCTATCACTACTGGTGGTTAATACATGCACAAGGCTGTCGGTAGGTCACGAGTATACAGTAGTCAACTACAGTACAACCAGAAATTATTGAGAATTTAAAGATTGTAAATATTTTTATTAGTTTCACTCATTACTCACGTATTAAATGTGAATATTAGCAGAACATAACTCCAGATTCAAAGAGAGGTGAACAGTATTTTGTCAAGTCACCATGGGCAGCAATGCAGGCTTCAATGTGGCGGGGCATACTACTGATCAAAGAAGTAGTCCCAATATCGGACCCCCTCTTTTATTATTGACACTTTCCTTCATAAGTCCCAAAACATTTTCTATTGGATTTAGGTCAGGGCTATAGCTTGGCCAATCTAATAATGTCATATTTTGGGTCCGAAACCAGGCCTGTGAATGCTTTGAGCGATGTTTTGGGTCGTTGTCCTGCTGGAAAATCCAAAAATTTCCATAGAACACGTGAGCAGATGGAAGTAAATGTCCCTCGAGAATATATGTGTACCGCTCACTGTTCATATTCCCTTCAAATACAAAGAGGGGCGTTCCCCTAACACAGATATGTCACCCCACACGTTAAATTTTGGACTGTTCTTTGGGCGCTGATACAAAGGTTTTCAGTTTGTTTGGTCCAGAATTTCAGTGTATTAGGAAACAGCCTAACAGAACTTTCATCTCAGAAAATCACATTGTCCCAGTTAAATTTCTATGCTGGAAGCGCCAGTTAAACCTTCGCTCCTTTTGTTCAGGTTTCATGATCGGTGATGGAATTCCTCGACTTTTCTGCCAACCCATTGCATGTAGCTCAGTTCTAATTGTCTCCTTACAGACAGCCACAGTTCCTCTATCAATCATATCCAGCCTTAAGTTTTCTAAACTCCTTCGTTTGTTTTTAGAAACAAGAATACCAAGCCGCCTCCTGTCACCCACAGTCAACTTTCTGGGCCTACCTGCGCGTCCCTGGTGCTCAATGCCATATCCATTTGCAATATTTTTCAAAACACGATAAACAGTGGACAAAGGGATGCCTGTTCTACTTCAAATCAGTTTAGCTGATCTCATGTCCTTGTTATAATGCTCTAAAATCAACTCCCTTTTCTCTAAATCATCCATACTGAGGATCACTGAAAATGTCGTCTGCTAGCAAGTAAACAAAGGGGGATAACTCTTCACAAACTAATGAAAAAGGATTTAGTCGTCTCTCTTGAATGAAACCAAGCACTTGATAGCTGGTCAAGGTTGTTTATACTAGAAATCCAATTAAGCATATTCCTAAAATTCTCAATAATTTCTGGTCATACTATATGTGCCTGTCGTATTATACACAACATGCACGGTATGCGTGCTAATGTAAAGGACAGTGTGCCTGTCCCAATTTACACACATGTACAGTTGCATCGTCATAATAAGCATAGTGTATCCACACTTCATAACGTAAGTGACAACTGTTATCGTAAATCAGGTCCGCTATCACTACTGGTGGTTAAAACATGCACAAGGCTGTCGGTAGGTCACGAGTATACAGTAGTCAACTATGTGCCTGTCGTATTATACACAACATGCACGGTATGCGTGCTAATGTAAAGGACACTGGCCTGTCCCAATTTACACACATGTACAGCTGCATTGTCATAATAAGCATATGAATCTGTTATAATATACTAAAAGCCATTAAAAATGCAATTTGACATTCATACTTTCTTTACTCACACTAATTTCAACA